GATCTTTGTTCCCTTCCACCAATTTTTTGGTGTTTATACTGTAGCTTCCAAAATGAACAACCGGCCCCCACTGTTACTATGGGGAGATGTATGTACTGGTGTTCACATCTGCAGCTTACACCTTTGACAGTGGGGCATGGGTCACCATTTCTCACTTTGAGAGATAACACACGGGGAGCCATCTCCATCTCTCTTCTCTTCCCCCTCACCCACTCCAGAATGAAACAATATAATATCCAAGGTTCACATTACTTTCATTTTCAAATTTAGGTGCTTAACTTTAAAACTGGATGAATCATTATATATACAAGTCATCTTGCTTATAGCATTTTTAGTGAAATGCTGTTGAATTTCTGTTTTGGCAACTGCAGTTTGGCTATCATGCCAACAAATGAGATTGATGGCCAGATGTTCATTTGCCAAATGAAACTTGTTTGGTGAATTAGTTGGCTAATGAAACTAAAAAGCCACAATGACACCTGTTTATTTTTATTTGTGGATAATAATCTTACTTGCATTTTAATATTTGTTTAGGTAAATGAAACTAAATATATTTTTTAAAAAACAGTATCTCATCTAAGGGGAAATGTTTCTGAAGGCACTTTTAAAATTTTGTTTTATTTTGGTTCCCAAGCTGTTCTTAGAATCTGATAATTTCAGTTTCTTTGGAAACATGGTTCTAATCCAAAAGTTGCAATAGAAAATAGACTTATACAAGATGGTTTAGTAACTCGGAAAGCAAAAGATCTCAGGGAAACTGTAAGTTTGTCATTCCTCCTGCTTTTTCCTTGATCAGATAAGACAAAGCTACTTAATGCTTCTAAGTTTTGCTTCCTTTTTATCTTCAGCCTGCTCATAAACAAACTTGTGTGTGAACCACACCCCAGGCATATGCCCCATGTCACTATACATGTACTGTACATACAAAATCCCTATTAGCCACAATGTCAAACTATGCAATAGTAACCATTTGCAATTTTTTGTTTTGAAAAAGTGCTTATTTCTAACCCAAATGTATATACATTTTACCTTAAGGTTTTAAAGAAATCTTAACTGCCACTCCTTAACTTATTAGAAATAGAATTTCTGGAGTCTCCCCCTCATTCCACCTTGGTTCAAAACACACACTCCTCTGTCTTTCAAGATGGAAAATATTCCTTCAGAAAAAAAAGTTTTATTCACAATTTATATTATAAATATTAGTGTAATTATGGCAAAATCCAACGGAAGGCACTGATCTTAAAAGAAAAGAGAACATCCCAGTGGCTACCCATGGATATCATAATTTAATGGGATAAGAACAAGCAGAAGCACATTGTAGGCTTACGCCCTTCTCTCTAACTGTGGAGTCGCAAAGAAACCTTTCACTTCCTTTTTTGATCAACCGTTCCTTAGTGTTATATTTGGACTCCATTTCTGTTGCACGTTTAAACAAGCCAGCATATAACACCTAATTAGATGTTGCCTTTAAAAAACAGTTGAGAATCACAATGAGGTGTGTGTGTCAAAATGCTAAAATGCTGTTAATCAGATACAAAAGCAAAAACATCTGAATTTCTTGCAGCTACACTGAGCACAAGAGAAACACAGTACTGTGATCAAATAAGAAAAAACCTGTGAAATCCAGCTAAAAACAAATTTCCCAAAATGACTCAACTTTCTTAAGGTATTTTATGAATAAAATACTGTAACGATATTAACATTACCCAAGTTTCAATTAGTACAAAATTCATTAATTGAAACAAATAGTTCCATAAAAAGCTGAAAGGTCTTTCAATCATTATTGACTATCCCAGGGGTTGACTTTGGTTTTAGATATAGGTCATTCTCAGTGTGTTCAGCTTCCAATTTAGTTTATCTGATAATCTGTGATTGTTTAAAAACATGTGGCGAGCACAACAAGGCCAGTTAAAATCAGGATGTAAGAACATCAACCACAAAACAAAATAGTAAGTGATTTTGTAGAAATGGATAACAAAGATAGCTTCAAATTTTTGATTCTTTATGTCAACAAATAGAAAAGTGAAGAAGCAATATTCAAACATCATGGATATTAAGATTAAACGTGCTGTTAAAGTGCTACACTCAATATGCCAGCAAGTTTGGAAAACTCAACAGTGGCCAGAAGACTGGAAAAGATCAGTCTACATCAAATTCCCAAAGAAGGGCAGTTCCAAAGAATGCTCCAACTACCGTATAATTGCACTCATTTCACATGCTAGCAAGGTTATGCTCAAAATCCTGCAAGGTAGGCTTCAGCAGTATGTGGACCAAGAACTCCGAGAAGTAACAGCTGGATTTCTAAGGGGCAGAGGAACTAGACACCAAATTGCTAACATGCACTGGATGATGTAGAAAGTTCCAGAAAAACAGCTACTTCTGCTTCATTGACTACGCAAAAGCCTTTGACTGTGTGGACCACATCAAACTATGGCAAGTTCTTAAAGAAATGGGAATGCCTGACCTATCTATCTCCTGAGAAATCTATATGTGGGACAGGAAGCAACAGTTAGAACAGGATATGGAACTACTGATTGGTTCAAAATTGGGAAAGGAGTCCCACAAGGCTGCATATTGTTTCCCTGTTTATTTAGCTAATATGTAGAATACATCATGCGAAAGGGAGGACTGGATGAATCCCAAACCGGAATTAAGATTGCTGGAAGAAATATCAACAACCTGAGATATGCATATGATACCACTCTGATGGCAGAAAATGAGGAGGACTTAAAGAACCTCTTGATGAGGGTGAAAGAGGAGAGTGCCAAAAATGGTCTGAAGCTCAACATCA